ATATATATATATATATATATATATATATATATAAATGGCGTAGTATATGAGAATTATTTTCTTATGTGAGAATGTGAATGTTCAATCTCAACTAAATATTGTCATTATTGTAGATGTTTTTATCATTGTTATCGTCACCATCTTTATCACAATTTTCACTGTCCTCAATATTTTCATCACCCCTATTATTGTTGTCGTTATCGTTGTCATGTTGTTGCTACCATCATTTATGTTGGAATGTAAATGTCTAATCTCAACTCTAAGATTAAAAAAAAATACAAATAAAACTACCACATATTTCACCACAATTGAACATGTCACTATCATTAATGGTCATCATAATTATTAATGTCAGCACCATGTGTATATTTGAATGTGTTTATCTACTTGATTTATTTAAATAATTATGAATTAATGGGACAACTTTTTAAATAAATTTATAAAATATTATCATAATATTAAAATAGAAATTGAGTAAATAATTGATGATCTTATCAATATTGAAAGGTGAAATATAATATAATACATTTATCATATATGTTATTTTATTTATCTTTTATTTTTTTATTTCTTTTTTGTACATTTGTTTTCCTTATGGGTGAGAAAAAATATTATTTTCTTTTTAACTTTCACATTATTTTTCTGCTTATGGTGATAAATTTTTGTTTTTTTTTGTAATTTTCGCAAACATATTTTTAAGTATTTTTTCTTTGATAATGGCTTCTAATTGCTTTGAAAAAATTATTAAAAATTAGTTAAATTCCACTTTTTTCCCTCTATTTCTGTCAATTAATAATTGTTGTGCACCTATTTTAAAATATAAACATTTAATTCTTCTATTTTTAAAATGTGAAATTTTGGTTCTACTACCAATTTAATGTTGGTTGATTATTAAATTTTGACGTTGTTGGATGATTTGTCCCCACTTAAATAACATGATATTTAGTTATGTGAGATATAAGAATAAAATGTTAAAAATATAAAAGATCTTCATTTGTAACTATTTTTACGAGTAATTGATATTTATTTTATTAATAAAAAATTTACTTATATTTTTTTAACTTTTTTTATTTAAATGTTATTTTATTAAATGTCATATCACTTAAGTGTAAATAAATATTAAAATTTAATAATTAGTAATACTAATTTAATAAAGGGTCTAAAATCTCATATTTTTAAATTAAAGAACTAAATATCTCTATTTTAAAATAAAGATAAAAATTATAATTTAACCTTAAAAAATTCTTTTGTTAACGAGATTGAAGACCATTGTTCAAGTAAATTTCACACACTCACAAATCATATAATATATATGAATTAAATTTATAGAAGAATATTTAAATTAAATGTCCCAGAAAAAAGAGAAGAATATTTAAATAAATTTCATATTCACCCAAATAATACAATGATTACGAAAGAAATGCATAGAATGTGGTTAGAGACAGATGTTTACCTTGAAATTTATTGACTTTCGCCAATAAAACTCTTTCCTAGATTTTTCTTGCAATGCCAATAATAAATATGACTAAAAGGAATAAAAATCTGTGCTAATAACGTGTTATAAAAATTTAAAAGAGAAACAGAATTCCTTGTATATTCATCTTTCTATAAATGAAATTATTTATTTATAAGTGTAAATTGTAATTGAATAATTACAAATAATTTAATAATACTTAAGAAAAATATAAATAGTCATTATCAACTTCCACTAATAATAATTTATAACAAATACATGTAAAAATGTAAAAAATATTGTGTGAAAGGAAGGATATATGTTATTTGTACAATGATTATGCAGTATTATTTTCTATGCATCTTTCTATTTATTTTAAAACCTTGATGAAGAATTTATTTTACTAGAGTCGGATTACTGGTTAGAGACCAAAAAATTAGAAAACTATGCACAAAGTTTATAGTTGTTAGTAGTTTTAATGAATAAAAAGAATACCATGTTTAAATGGTTGAAGAATAATTTAGCTTTTTTTTTATAGAAATTCTATGGTACCCATCTTATTTGAGAGGGTACTGATACAGTCTTTTATATTTTATATTTTTAATAATTTATTTAAATAATATTTATGATATTTTATTCTTTCAATTTTTAAATTATTTAATCATTTTATTTTTATTTTATATATTCTAATTTATTTATAATAATATTATTATATATTTAAATAGTTTAATTTTAATAATTTTTTAAGTATATTTTTATCTTTTCACTTAAAATTTTTGAATTTCTATATTTTAATTTTAATAATTTTTTAAGTATATTTTTTGTCTT